AATACAGACAAGGTAACTGTAGAGGGAAGAAAATTAAACTGTCCTCTGTCTACTCCGAATAGCTCACACAGCACTGTGTTTTAAAATTGAAGTGAGGGAATGTGAAACAAAACATCAAGAAAAATAATCAAACCGTTCAACAGGATGCCCAGCAAGACTGTGAGATTTCCATCCTTTGAGGTTTTTAAACAAGGGCTAGATATCTGTCAGAAACGTTGTGGGTAAGCAAGCTGGCTCCTGTACAAGGGGGGAGATCAATGCCTCGAAGTTCTGTGCCAGCCTAGACTGAAAACTTCATGAAATCTTTACAACTACCTCGTATTATTCTTATATTCTTTATTCCCTATAAATTCTCCTAATATAGTTTTTTTTTTATGTTACTGTTTCTATATTTGCAAAGGATTTTGTGATGCCCCTTCAGACTGGAAAGCCCTAAATAAAATAAAATGTTTTCAGGAAAATCCAGAATTCCACAAGTTCCTTATACAGTCTATTCCTTGCATCTAAGCTTTTTCTTAGCTTAGATCCTCCTCACAGCAAATTAAGATGGTAATTTTTAATCCTGCCCTTTGCAATCATGAAGAATGACTTATTATTATCTTCTGTCCTTACAAACCTTCATGTATTTGAAGACTTCTGTTTCTGCCAAACCTTTTCCTTTCTAGACTGAACAAATCAAATACTTCAACACTTCTTCACAGGTCACATTGTTGAAATTCTCCTAATTTCTAATTTTCTCCACAGGACTGTCTCCAATTCATCCATGTTCTCCTAAAGGATTGTAATTGCAAACTGGATGTGGTTTTCCAGCTACGACCTTAATAATGCTGAGCAGGGTAAAAGATGCAAGAGAGTCATTTGTCATCTAGAACAGCCGTCATTTTGGAAGGTATCAACATCTCCCTTTTTATTGCTGTTTACAACAAACCTCTTTCAGTTTACAGTCAACTACAATCCCCAAATTGTTTTCTTTAATAGTAGTTTTGTTTTGCTGATGAAAACTGAGACATGAGTATTAATTCCAAAAGTCTCAAATCCATCAATATTTATAAAAACACACCAAAATCTATACTGGGAAAAGCAAAGTATTTTTCAGCGGTGCGTAAGTATTGTTATAGCTATAAATACACCTGTACTCTCAAATACTTTCATGTCAGTTTGGTTTTGACTCTTGCAATCGAAAATGGACCAAAGAGACAGTGGGGAAGACAAAGCTGGTGCTCAGAGACTTGGGAGAACGCTGCTCCTCTGCATAAACCATGAGCAGTACTGAAGTCTGCATTTCCAGAGAGATATAGCCACTGGTCCTGGACTGACCGCTTTTGTTTAGGAAACAAAAAAACATGCTGTAAAAGCAATGGAAATAGAAAGCAGCTGTGCTGCTCTTCTGCTGTGCTCTGGCTCTTTCCACACTCTGCATACAGCCACAAAGCTGATCCTGTGCAGGCTTCTCCGCCTGCCCAGAGCAAGCGAGGCAGCCCTCAACCCGCCCCGTGCCGGCACCATCACCCTGTCCAACAACTTGGGCTCCCACGACCAGGGCTCCAGCAGAGGCTGCCAGCTCTGAGCAAGGCTCTTTGCCCTCCCACGCAATTTGTAACTGATCTTCCTCAGCTGCAAATTTACCATTTTTCAGGGGCAGCCACTGAGCCGGTAGCACAACTGGCTTTCTCGGGGCAGTGGCTCCACCAGCTAATGGGGTCAGGGTCAGCAATGGGCAACATCAGTGTCTCCTGCTTGCTGCCTCCCTGGAGGCTCTGCATGGCAAGAAAGGTCACTGTTGAGCAACGGGAGGGGGAAAAAGGAGGATTGGGAATGGTCTGGAAAGCAGACTAGTGCATGAGGGAGACGGAGGGGCTGTTGGGCAGGATGGGATGAGCCAGCACAGCTGCAATCTCAGCTGACTCGGGCTCCAATTAGCTAGGGTAGAACTAGGAAAATAACTCTGGTTTTCCAGGACATTTTAGATTACTGCTGCATAGACATGTGTAGGATATTTTGTCTTATGTATATGTGTGTGCAAGTGCCTAAACAAACTCCTGTGTGCCCAGGGGAACAACTTAGTCTAAGAGCATTATGGAAAGTCAGCTGGACCCAGCAGAGGTTAAGCTCCAAGCCACAACACGAGAAGCAGGGACCAAAGACCTCCCCATGCCGCTGGCCAGGCTGCCCTCCCGCTCAAACCCCACCAGATGTACTGCCAGTGTGCCCAGGCATGGCAGCATGTTGAAATGCCATGACAAAATAATACGGGGGGCGGGAAAAAAGGAGTATATGGCTACCTTTGATACTAATCCGTCTCATCCAGGACTACTGATAATATATTCTAAGAATAGAGACAGCCACCAGAGCCAGCATTCAAAGGAAAGAAAAATGGCTCAAATAATTCTGTTTTCTATTAAATATAACAGTTGCCTCCCAAAAATGCAGTTCAGGGAACTTTAATATCCTCTTTCAGGGAATTGTAAGCAGCACCACAAAAAACCTCTCTCTTTTTTCTGGAAATATGGTTGTCGTTATCATGAGAAATGTTCTATGTTTGTGACAAAAAACTGTGTCCTTTATAACCATCCATATTACTCCCTACCCACAAATGTATTCATCTCTACATATCAATATAACATAACTGCACATCACTGCAACATTACCTGGCTCCTGCCTGAGGACTATCTCACAATTACCCTTATAATCACCTGTTTTGAAATTACAGGGCTAAGGAGCTCTAGGTTTTAAAGAGAAAGGCAATGTTTCGCTGCCTGCCTTCGGCGTACCACTTTGACTAATCCAACCTTACACGTTCACAGTTCCCAAGAAAAAAGGCTACCTATAATTACATGCAAGAGGTCTTGGGGAAAGGTGGGTGATGTGGAACAAAGAGCACATTTTCAGGAGCTTTGAAAGCTGCTGCGGCTTACTAAGATCAATGACTTGTCATCCCAGAGGAGCACTGAAAAAAGCCTTTGTAGTTCTGCTCCCCTTCTGTCTGTCTATATTTTGTATTTCTAAGCAGGCAGTTTGCAGCCAGCATGCATGTGCGTGCAGCCAGTGTGAACTGTGCATACATTTAAGCACACATGGCATCTATGTAATACAATGTTGGAAATTACAGGTTAATAAGTACTGTGCAAAGGTGAGTGGTGCAAAGAAATGCGTATTTAAATTAAAAGTTAGCACAAAGAGAGAGAAAGAGTTGAGACAAGAGATGGAGAAATTGTTCCTATGATCTAAACAATAAAATGTCCATCTAGCAGATATTAAAATGGTCTCTAGGCCACAGAGAGTAGTATGTTTTCATTTTGACTAATGCATCTCAGACATAAAGCAGTGGGAAATACTGTAAATAACAGGTTTTTAAAACCATTCCCCAAGAACAACAAAAAGTCTAGCTGAAAATAATACATCTGAATCAGGTTTAAATTGGTTTTCAAAAAATAGCCTGACGCACGCAATACAGACAACATCAGCCTCCCAAAAAAGAGCTTAATACAGAAGGCAGTACAGAAGCAGATTGAGTCGAAAATATTTTCTGAGCTCCTGAATTTATAAAAAGGTAAATACCATTACAGGGAAAGTTTCAAGATAAGGAGGAAAAAAAAAAAAAAAAGAGAAGCTTTTCCTCCTACAAGTGAGGTGCAGTGACATTTTTAGGACTCAACTTGATATTTCAATAAATAATTATGTTTTTCCAACTGAACAACCAGCTAGACACGGCAAACTGTAATTAACACCAAGAAGCATAATACTATTTGGCATGCTTACACCTTGTTTCTGAACAGGAGGCTGCAAGAATCCCTTAAAAGCTATTCAAAGAAACTTATAATTATGTGCTAGCGTGATTAGGCTCTTCTAATAATGTCGTGCCTATTGAGCGTGCCCTATTGAAAAGCCCCCATGAAAATGCACAGTTCCACTGATCTGTACGCTTGTGTCAGAAGCCCTCATTTGGAGATCTGAGAAATGAAAGAAACATTACTATGGAGATTAAGAAACTCGGTTTAGCACTGTAAAATAATATTATGATTGAATAATATTAGCGCCAACTATTAATAAATGTGCCAGCATTTCCCATTAGAAGCCACCATACGCAGTTGCTTACAGCTATGCCAAAATTGTTAGGCCGTGGGAGCGAATCTCATGTTAAAAAGTTCTTTGTATACTGTAAGGCTTTGGTGACCTGGAGTGGAACTTCGACTATCAGCAACAAAGTGGGCAACAAATACACACGTTTGACAGGGTATGAAGGGTCAAAACAGCATTAAGAAGGTCACAGAGCAATCTATTTACACATGCAATTATAGAGTTGCTGCTATAATAGAAACTATCTTTTCTTCATCTCCATCGGAGGAAACAAAGATATCATCTACAACTTTATGTAAAATAACCCATAAAAGGGCTCTCAGTCCAACTGCAGCGGTAACTAGCTCTTGTTCATTTTAATTTAGAAGGACTGAAGGGTATAAGCAAGAAATGAAGATGCCTGCTACCTTAGGCCAATTAATCCATGTACTTGAGGATTTAGTCTTGAGAGTTTAACACAGCAGCATGATTCCTGGGGATCCATGAATATACATGGGCATGTAGCTTATAGAAGGTGAACAGCATCTGGCTGTTATCATGCAAGCAAGAAATCTTTGCAGGTGCTGAAGTGTCTAATGATCTAGTACAAATGTATGTCAGCTGCTGTTTGAATGCTTGGGCTACTGAGCAATTTTTGTAGATAATCACATCTCACACAGCCTGGATGAGTTTTCAGAACATGGGACAAGTCTTCTTTGTGCCATTCAGCTCCCCTTCCCCTCTCAAACAACCTTGCGCCTCATCTTACAATCATTCACATCCAGATGTACCAATTATTGTTATTTCTGGAGTCAAAGTAGAATTTACCACCCCCACTTAGAAAATGCCTTTGGGGCTGCAAAAACATTCAGACAAAGCAGGGAGGGATATATAATGCTGCATTAGTAAGAAAAGAAATTAATGTCCATAAAGGAAGGCATTACCATTCTCTTCATCTCCTTGGAGACCTGGTGAGCTCCAAGGTGGTTATAAAAGGGCCGGTCAACACCCCAGTGTGGCGGGTTATGGCTGATGGAATTAGCGCGCTGACGGTTCATCTTGGCTATTGTGGCTTTCTCGTCTTTCTGAAATACAAATGAGAGAGAAATGCAGAATAAATTTTGAAACATTTACATGGCAGTCATTCCCCAAACATCTCTCACTTCTAATCTCTCACTCCAGAAGTTGGCTTTGCGCCTTGAACTTTATGAAGTGGCTGCTGACCAGGAGTAGTCCCAGTCCACCATTATTTTTCTTCTCATTTTTTGGAACGCTAAGTGGTGCCCACCATTTTACTCCTTCGCTTGTTTTGAATAACCATCATAACCTGTGTAAACACTGGGAGCATTCCAAAATGGAGACATCTATTTTCCTTTTTAGTAAACTGAATCAAACTGAATAACTTCAGACAGGAAATTGCAGTTCCAAGCTGAGGTACTACATAGAGGGTCCTGAAAAAAAAAAAAAAGACTGATGTGTCTGCAAAAGAAACGACACATAGAGCGATCTGGTTGAAGAAAAGGAGCCTTGAATCTCCTTGAAGCTATGGGAATAAAGAGCATCTTTCTCTGTAGGTACAGGCAAATCATTCTCCACATTTGCAAGAGCATCTTCCTAGACATGCTAAGGGAAGCATATAAACCTTGCAAACAACTTAATTGTGTACCTGTTACGGGTAATGGTATTGCAGAGTGCGACAAAATGGTCCACTCTACCCTAATGCTACCTGCAAATTTTATCATTGACGACTAACTTTCCTGAAGTTTGGACAGAGTCTTTGGTTTTGTTATTAGAGCTGGTTTTGAATCTTGGTTGTAATTGAAGCTTGCTGCAAAGTTTGCATGGGATCTGTCGGAAAGGTTTCATTCAAGCCCAACACAGAAGTGCAGCATGTAACCAGGCTAAACGACAGGCTGGTTAGTTCCTTATTTTAAACACATACTCTAGCTAAAAAGACAGGCAAGTTTTCATGTGGAATATGTTCTGTGGAAAGACAGGAGTTTATTGCACAAGATCAAACCCTTTGATCTCTGACAAGGACTGCACTGGAGACTTTCTCAGTGAGGACTGTGTGATTCACCTGTACTGACTCAGAAGGCAGAGAGGTGGTAACTATTACATCCCTGCTTAAAAGTGACAGACTCTGGAGAGGTTGAAAGTTCCGACAGTAGGGATAGCTACAGCTTGGCTGTTTATTACTTGAGAGATTAAACTTTTTCAAGAGAATTGCTGCTTCCATGAGATTACTGAAAAAATTAGACGTAATAGTTACTTTTTGATTTCAGAAGCATTCAGACAACTGAATAATTTAAAAAGAAAGCATCAGTTGTTTTAAACTCTAGAATTTTGGTTCAAGTGTTGTATGACAA